GGGAAATGCAAAGGGCCTTTCCAGAACATGAGCTCGAGAAGCTGCACTTGAAAATACAGCATTTAAAGTACAACAGCGGCCCTTTAAATGTGTGTTTTAAAGTATCACTGTCAACCGCTTCGGGCCAGTCTGAATAGTTGCAACTTGTACACATTCAGCAGTCATTTTGAAAGCACCTTAGGGTGAGGTCCTGATACAGTGGAGAATGAAATGTGATCTGTCTCTCTGCATGGAAGGTGCTGAAGACTCCTGCTTGTTCACATGCCTGGCACACACTCTAGGCTGGCAACTCTGGAAAGCTACAGGCTCCTTGACAGGATCCCATTAGCCTGTAGGAACAGCCCTGCCACCATTTAGAGCTCTGTGGCTCAGCAGCTTTAGCCGAACTTCCTCTGTAGACGCTGCATTTTCATCTGAAGAGATAACGTAAGCCCTCTGTCCAGTGTGTGCATTGGAGGCTTAAGAGGGGCACCGTACTAATATCCCCTTACACTTTTGTAGCTGGAAGGCTTTTATTTCATATTGACCAAAGATACTTGTGAGTCTGTGACTCTAATCAATATCTAAAATAAAGCCATGTTTTAAACAGACTTTTGTATCCCTGTCTGTGCATGTATTAAATGGAAAAAAAAACCCACAGCTTTTGTCCCATTTGAAAGAGTGACAGAGTTCCTATCTATTAAAAAAGAAAGTATCGTGTAGTGAAACTAATTACCTCAGCCAGAAATCCAAATGGCTTTGTCAATTTGAAAAGAGCGTTAGCACTTTCTGCCAACCATAATTGTGATAACAGCCTGACAAAGAATGGCCGATATTGCTCTTTAATTGCCTCGAGTAACAATGCATACCCCAGTGATGGGTCGGCTCATTTATCATGTTCATTGTGGTTCATCGTCTCCCAAAATGCTCAGCTTCCTTGGAACACTCTCCATCAAGCATCAGCTACTGGCTGATTGCTTCCCACCACACTGTTCTGATTAGCTGTAGAGTCTGCTCCTCCTGTAGGCTCCCTTTCTTACCTCCTGCTGGGGCCGGAGGCAGGAGCATTGCCCTTCCTGCTGCCAGACAGTAAATCAACCAGCTCAGCGCCTGGGCATTCTCTGCTTCTGCATGCAGGGTCCTGACTTCAGGAGTTCTGTGATTTAACTGTTTCGCTTGGCATGGCTCTTGGTTTTTCTTGATTCAGACTTTGATTTGTAGAAACATTTCGATGATTTGCGTGGGCAGAAAGAGTCTTTTTCAGTAATTTCATTTTAGAAAAACCAACTTGTTGGTTTTTGTGAATGTTAGCCATAATTTGTAAGTACGCATTTGGAGTGTATTTTAGAAACCTGAATAAAAAGTCTGGCTTTTACAGTTAGTTGTTAGAGATCTCCAACACAATGGACCAGAAAACTATTCACCACTGAGTAAAAATTACCTGTCTCTCGGTGAACCCATCAGAAGCAATAAGGAAATTCTAAAGAGTTTCTTTGGTGGTTGGTCTCTGGGAAAAGCACTTGGCACTGAGGTGAGGTGTTTGAGGAGGGTGTACACTAGAGCTGCCCACGAACAGTCAGGATGTCGAGAGTCTTCCTCACTCAAAGAGAATTAACCCAAGTCAATGCCAGGGACGTGGCAAACATCCGTGAGCCTAGATATCCAGAGGTAGAGGCTGGAGAGATGGCTCAGCAGATAAGAGCAACTGTTGCTATTCCAGGGAACCCAGACTAGGTTCTCAACACACATGTGGTGCATCGCAACCATCTGTGGCCAGTTCCAGGGGATCTGACTCCCTCCTCTGTCTCCTTAGAGACAATGTGCCCACATGGTACCCACTCATCCATTCAGGCAAACAGCCATTCGCATAAGATAAAAATCAATAATCTTTAAAAACACTGTAGAGACAAGGGCAGAAGGGCTGGAGGAAATGCTTGGGCTTTGCAGTTAGTTTGGGAGTAAATTCTGACTTCTCAGCCTGTAGATGAATGTGATGTCCAGGTTTCCTCTCTGAGTTTTAGTTTCCCTATTTACCAATTCAAGGAACTCAAGGAGAAGATATGGGGGGGGGAGGAGAAAAGAAAGAGGGATGGTAGGGAAACGGGAGTGGGGGGGGGGCTCAGGACGCCTCATGTATGTGTGGGAATTTGTCAAAGCACGAATTATTTAAATAATTAAAAAAGATTAAAATGGATCAGAGCCAATTGACTTACCTAGACCTATTTTCATATCACAGAGAAGTTATTTGAAGATAAACAATTAGATATTTAAATCAAGGTATGTTCTATATGAAACAGAATGTGTCTCTGTGATACTTTAAATGTTATCGTAATTAGTTCTCTGAGAATTTTGTAAACTGAGTTTTGACCCTATTCACAGTGCCCCCAGCTCCTTCCAGATCACTCCTGCTTCTCTACCATTACAATTTCTTGTTCTCTCTCTTTCCCTGTTCCCAGCAAATCCAACTTGTGTTCCCCATATATTCGTGGATGTGTGGCCTTCTGCTTGAGTGTGGTCAGCTTCTCAGTGGCAACACTCTTAAAGAAAACTGACTCTCTTTTTTCCCCAGAAGCTATCACTTGCCAGTTGGTCCTTGGATAGGACTGAGACTTGATGTCTTCCTTCTCTCTCCATGCTTGAATTTTGTATGGTTTGACCTTGAACTGTGTTGTACATGCTGTCATAACTACTGTGAGTTCATGTGTACAGTTGCCTTGTTGTGTCCAGAGAACATTATTTCCTTGTATTCATTGACCACCTCTGGTTCATACTGTCTTTCTGATTGTTCTTCAGAAAGATCCCTGAACCTTCAGAGGGGAAGGTGTAATCTAGATGTTCCGTTGAGGGCTGAGCATTATTAAGTTTCTTATTTTCTTCACCTTGGCTAGTTCTGGATCTCTGTATTAATTAATCACCATTTACTTCATAGAGAAGCATCTTTGATTAGGGTTGAGAGATGCATTAATCTATGAGTATGACAATCAGTAATTGGGAGTCAGTTTAATAGTATGTCCAGTTAGCACAATAGTAGAAAGTTGTCCCCTGGGACCTATGACCTGTCCAGCCACAGATCTAATTGAACATAAGAATTTAAACCTATGTTCTGCTTCTAGAATTAAAATAAAAATAATAGTGGTACTATAAGAAACATATATAAAAGGAAAATAGAGAATAAACAATTATATAAAAAAAAACCATCGAAGTATAAAACCAACATATTGGGGCAGCGTCTTCCTGCAGCCCTGCCAGATAGAAGGGTGGGTGGTTGAAGCTGAAGACTCATCTCTTTGATCCTGCTCACACGGTGCCGCACCTGCAGTGGTCTGAAGTCACCTGCTCACCACCACAGCTTCCTGTCTTGCAGACCAGGAGCACCACTAAGCACCCTTAGCTCTACAGCTGCCACTCACTCCAGAGACTGCACATTGTGTCCATCTGCGTGGCTGAGGTCTCAGCCAAGAGGTGTTTCCCAAGTGTGCTGCGGTGGGAGCGGAAGCAGGTAGAGCACTGAGCACTGAGCACTGAGTACTGTTGCTGTGTTGCTTTGCTACAGCTTTCCGGTCCTGCTCAGTACTAAACACACCCTGCGAGAGGGAGAAGGTTGTAAGGGCATCTGTGCATTCTGAGTCTTAGGCTATTACAGTTCTTTAGCTCATTGCCAAAGAAGGCATTGCCATCACAAAAGGCAGGGCCATCAACTCCAGAGTCCTTCACCCATGAGCCTCCTGCTTCCTGCGCCTCTCAATATGTTTGTGTCTAGCCCTCCCCTAATCTGTTGCTGCCACTTGCCACCCACTTCTACCTAGAGGCTCTGGCAGGTTAACTCTAGAATCCTTAGCTTCTCAGGCTCCCAGGGAAGCTGTCTTTAATGGAAGCTCTCCTCTCAAGATGGCACTAGACCGCAGCCTTCTCAGGCATAGACTGACCCACACTTGAAGCCACTGTCTCAGCAGATCCCTCCCACTACATTCAAGACTTTTGAGAACTGTGGGTTAGACTTCCAGTGTCTTCCCCAGACCTAGCCTGGGTGCCTTTTCAGGGGATGCAGGAGAGCTGTGAGCCAGGTGCCGCATGCTCTGACCTTAGTCCCCGATGGCCCTTGTGCGTCTCTCTTCTTGGCCAGCTGCTCCATCCCCACTCTGTGATTTCTGAAGTTCTTTCTCTCTTTGGGATAGGGTTCATTCTCTTGTTTTTTTACTACTTTATGTGGAGGCAGCGTCTACTCTGCCATCTCACCCCAGAAGTCAATTTAGTTAGTTTAGAAGACTCTGTAACTTGATGGGAACCGTTCCTTTAGTCTCATTTGACGGAAAGCTCAGTTGGAGATTTTACGGGTGCAATATGTCATCAATGCTTTTGTTTGCAGTTGATTTTCTCTGGAAGCATTTACACTTACACTGCTTGGAGGTTTTCATCAACTCAAGCAAGAAAGTGTCTTTCGAAACGAATTAGCTTAGCCAGAGGTCACATAATCTATGACTGTTGGAGGAATAGGGGTGTATTTTAATCCTCCAAGGGTCCCCCCTTACAAAACTTATCTTAAAATGTCATTAGATTTGATTATACAAAAGGAAAAGGAAGTTGTTTATTAAAAACAAAATGAAAATCTCAAAACAATGGAACAGTGAGAAAGCCAAGGACTGTTTTTGTTTTTTTTTTTTTTATAAATGTAGCTCTGCCTTGTTAGAACATGTAGGTCAGCAGTTATGTGTGCTGCACAGTTTGTCCTCTCAGTTGCCCATCCACACATTACTGTGGTAGGAGGGGGGTTATTCTTCCTGACACTCCTTTCCCCAGCTAAATGCTGGAGGATGCTGAATCACTCAGGTGTGCAATAGTCATAAGCCCAGTACTTTTAATTCACAGGATCAAAATATTAAGATCCAATATGAAGTTATTGGTATTAGAAATATTTTAAAGATGCTTAGAACTATTTTAAATCTCAATATACTGGAATATATATTGAAAATATTCATTGTAAACATCAATTTTATACTTGTTTTTCTTCTTTTCAATTTCAGGGTCAACCTGGTCCCCAGGTAAGTGATCTCTTTTCTGACCAACTAACTCCAATTCAAGATTTTCCTAGTGGGGAAGTTTTCCTTCAATCCTTCTCAAAGAATTGAAGAAAGCTGCGAACTGATAATCGGGCCCCTACCTAGTTGGACAGCTCTTGCCCCAGAGTGACACTTGGGGCCCCTTCAGGACTGAGTGAACCATTTTACATGTTGGACCAGATGGCACATCAACAATATTCCCTGAGTAAAACTCTTCACTGACCCAAACCAATGCCCCAGGATGTCCAAGGCAGAGTAACTGGGTTCACAGGGGCATGGGCTGGCATGCGTTAGATGCTGATTAATTGCATACCAATGCAGCTGTGGATCCAGACTCATTATTTACACTGTGACCCAGCTAGCTGTTTCTGATTCAGTATAGATGGATAACGACTTTGTTCTCGATTTTCAACACAAACCAATGGCTACAGACATGATTTATAAATAAGCGCAAATGCAGCCGACAGACAATATTTTGAACTCTAAATCACACTGAAGAAAATGGACCATTTTTAAGAGGTGGAGGACTGTGTATAAAGATAGAATGATAAGAATGAGTCAAGTCTTCACAAAGAGTGTAGCCAGTTCAAACTCAAAAGACTCAGTACTGCATCAGTCTGGAGGATGCTAATGGCCACTGAGAGGAGTTGGACCCAAGGATGCTCTACCTTAAACACTGCATTCCACATGAACCATGCAATTACTGATTTGTGCTCCTGTTAGTCCTTTTCCGCCATGATGGGCTGAATGCCACTTCTGTCCCAGATTGTTAACTGATGGGCCATTTTGTGATGGCTTTGTAGTCAACCTCAGGAACGTATTTATTATATGTTACTCTTCATTCAACATGATATGATCTTTATTTATAGTTGTTTTGAGATCCATATACAAGGTTGTGTAATATTACAAACAGAAAACCACATTTATTTAAGCACAGCACTCCTTTTCACACTAACCTGTGAGAGAAAGTTAGACTTTTGATTCATACTGATACTGAGAACATCCTCATTGTTTATCGATTGCCCTCTTATAGTCCAAGTTAGTTCAAGTTAACAGAATGAATTCATAGAGGAGTGCTGTGGAATAAGTCTCTTGTACAAAGAGTTGTCACTCAGATTGATTTAATAAAATGCTGATTGGCTAGTAGCCAGGCAGGACATGTTAGGCAGGGTGACCAGACTAAGAATGCTGGGAAGAGGAAAGGGCGGAGTTAAGAGTCACCAGCCAGATGCAGAGGAATCAAGATGATACTGAGAAAAGGTACCAAGTCATGTGGCTAAACATAGATAGGAATTATGGGTTGATTTAAGCATAAGAGCTAGTTAGTAATAAGCCTGAGCTACTGGCCAAGGATTTATAAGTGATATGAAGCCTCCAAATCTATTATTTGGGAACAGGCAGGTGGAGAGAAACATTCTGCCTACAGAGGAGAGTTTTGGCTTCTTAGCATTTGACCTTACTATGCTATGTTGGGAAGGATACAAAGTAAACATGGTTTACTGCTTTTCATACTTTGTTTTACTCAGTGCTGACAAAAGTCCTGAAAAGTACATGTGTGCCGGGGTGTGCCCATGTGCACATATACACATGTGTGTTGGTGTTTATGGTAAATTACTTACCTGGATGACACAGTAGTGTGACTGGAGTAGAAATCAAGATTATCTAAATCTGGAAGCCCTGTATCACTCAATTCTTTCCAGAAAGGATAATAACACAGCATAATGAAATAAGCTTTGGCTTGGGGAGAGAATAATATATATATATAGGTTTTTCGAGACAGGGTTTCTAATTGTAGCTTTGCGCCTTTTCCTGGAACTCACTTGGTAGTCCAGGCTGGCCTCGAACTCACAGAGATCCGCCTGGCTCTGCCTCCCGAGTGCTGGGATTAAAGGCGTGCGCCACCACCGCCCAGCGAGAATAATATTTTAACTCTTAATAGAACCTCTGTCTTAGTCTAGGCCACCTTTCCTGGCATCAAAAAGTAGTTCTTAAGATAATTTATGGACATAAAAATTTGAGAAATGACCTAGGATACATCATGAGGGCATGGAATAAGACTCTGGGATGGTAAAAGAGCAGGAAATAGATGTGTTTGTGAACTGATGACTTCTATGAGTGACTGAGGCCATGTCCTGTTGAATATCTTATAGAGGGATGATTGCAGATGATTCCTCAGAACACTCACATGGAAGGACAGGAAGTTGATGTGATTAGTCATTGATTTGTATTCCTTCATTCTTCAGTCATGTCTGGATGCTGATGCCAATATTTCTGATCTGCTTCAGAAGGTCTTATGTATAGAATAGATAGGTCCCATATCTGTGAAACTGTGGTGAATAAGACAGATACCGTCTCTGTTTTGTGATTATTCTGTGTTTTATTTCTCACTTAAAAATTATACATATCTATTACATTAGAATATAACAATAAATTAATATGAAACATCAATATGTTTTATTGATAATGTTGAATACATACAAGGTATAAAACTTGAGTTCATATGCCTAAACGTTGTTCAATTACTACAATTAAATCAATGAACATATCTGCCTCTCCCCAGACTGTGCAGTATTAAAGCCTCAGAACTTGTCATTTGACCACTGCTGTGCCTTTTGCAGCCTGTCCCTATTTCTGCTTCCCTGTTTTATGCTTCCATTAGGTCCAGTTTTCAAAAATTCTAAAAACAAGTGGAAATCATCATACACTATCTGCCTCTCTGTCTGGTTCATTTTGCTTAGCACAGTATCCTACAAATTCAACCATGTTGTTACAATGGGAAAATAGCCTCCTTTTTCAGGCAGATAATACTCCATCATATATACATACCACATTCTTCATTCATCCATTAGATACTCAGGCTGATATTCCATGCTTTCTGTTGCAAGTGTATGCTACACATGTGTGATCATAAAAAATTTCTCTCTGTATGTGGGTTATTTCATTGAACATATTGTCCCCTGGGTTCATTCATATTGCTGCAAATGGTGGGATTTCATTTATGTGGCTAAGTAAATAGTCCATTATGTGTGTATAGCCCATTTCCTTTGTATCCATTCATTAATGGACACTATGGCTGACTTCAGATCTTCATTGCTGTAATAAACATAGAAGAGCAGAGATCTTTAACATGCAGGACCATATGGTAATTCTATTTTTAGATTTTGAAGAACTGATACACTGTTTTATGTAATAAATGTTCTACATTGCATCCCTAACAACAATGTAAGAATTCTCTTTTCTCCATATCTTCACCAAAACTTCTCTCTTGTCTTTTTTATTGTGTCCATCCTGACAGGTGGAAGCATGCACTCTTATTATTATTATAATTCACATTTGCCTGGTTATTGATGATACTGAACACTTTTTCATAGACCTGTTTCCAATTTGCATGTCTTCTTTGGAAATCTGGTCAGTGAAGTGTGAAAGTTCTTAAATGCCCAGACATGGTCCTAGTGTGTTGGGCCTTGGTTTGAATAGTGGGTTTCTGTCCGGATCTTGGCTCCTCTGATCTTGTTGAATCACCTGCTGACTCCCATCCCCATTCCCTTTCTACGTTGCTCTCCTTGTCCCAGGTCTCCCTCCAGTTCCTCCTGCCTGATGTCAAAGTCAGGACTGTGCGCCTGTACTGTGATTGCACTGCTGATGTCACGTGGGATGACCGCATGCCTGGCAAGGTTCTAGATTTCTCCTGCATCTCTCCCAGCATCCCCCTTGCCATTCTTCACACTGGTGCTCTAGGGAGGCAAGTCAACAGGGTGGATGTCTGGCTTTTCCCTGACAAATGGAAGCACTGGAGGTTAGGTTGAGAGAAATCAATGGGTGTCTCTCACCTATGTTGACCAGATAAAATTTTCTACCATGGTTTTGGTAGTGTCCCTTTCCTGATGCCAAACCTTTGAGTCTTGATGAGTTCTCTGTCTAGAGTATGACAGAATCCCCTGATTTTGGCCTATGGTCTCACCTTCCATTTGTTTTTATTAATGTGCTTCATGGACTCTATGCTTCGTCCAAACCAAATTGAACCATTTACATTTTCTCTTCTAAGTGTTTAGTTTTCTCCTTTCCTTGGGACTGCTTCCTCTTAAACCTCGTGTCCACACATCCAAACATAATCACCCATGGCATTGTAATGCTGCTTCTTCAACAAAATGTTTTTCTTCTCCTTTTAGTGAAGGGATTGTCTTCCTTTCCCAGATTCCCACAGAAGGTTGTCTATGCAGCTTGTTATATTACATCATGCTTAAAGGAGAGAGCATGGACTTCTGATCAGACAGGTTGCAAGTCTGATCCATGCGGTGCCACTTTTAGCCTCTACCTCCTGGATAAATTACTCCTTCACTCTGGATAACACTGTCCACATATGTAAAGCAATGTCCTTTCTTAATACATGTTGTAAAAGTTAAAGTATTGTGTGTGAAATGTGATACCTACACATGGTAAGCACTCAGGAAAAATGAATTTTGTCATTCTATTTTGGGTCATCATAGTTATTTCCAAGCATCTTTTCTCTTTAAAAAAAAATACTTTATTTTATGTCTGTGCGTGTTTTACCTGCTTATGTATCTGTGTACCACTTGCATTCCTGGTGCCCATGGAGGCCAGAAGAGGGTGTCATATTCCCTGGAACTAGAGTACAGATGACTGGCATTTGTCACATAGGTCTTGGGAATTGAACCCTGGTCTTCAGGAAGAGTAGTCATTGCTCTTAACTACCAAGCCTTCTCTCCAGCCCTCTTTTTTTGTTCCTTAACAGATTTTATGATCTTCGGTGCTGGATCTGTGCTTTTTCTCATCTTGACTCTCCTCTCCATCTGACTTACTTTATATAGAGATTTATTTGTAGGGTTCAAAGCTTTGGTTTTGATTTTCACAATCAAAACTATTATAGAAAGTATTACATTGTCTAAACATTAGTATTTGTCCACAAATAAATAATTTAACACATATCACATAAACAAATGGCTTTCAAAATATTCTCAGGA